TGCTTTCGCATGAGAGCCTCCTCTTCCTCCTCCCCTTGGCAGGGCTGATCAGCCTGGCGTGGAAGTTCTCTGCTGGTGCCACCCCTCCCACAGCATTTGCTGCTCTGGCCTTGCTTTCCCTTGGCCACTTTCCTCGCCGCCCTGGGGCGACGCACTCCCCTCCCTGCCGCCCCTCCCAGCGGGACCCACCTGGTCTGGGGGGGCTGCTCTGCAAACTGCTGCACCGCCCGGACCCTCCTTGGTGTCCCACCCTGGTGTGAGGCCACCCAGCAGGAGCTCAGCCCTCCTGAAGCCTTTCTCCAGCATCACCAGCAGCTCCATCACCCTGTGCCACTCCAGTCCGGAGCCAAGGGGTTGATTAGTTCAGTGTCTTCTCTTTCTCCTTACCCCCAGCTGCAGCCTCTCCTGCCTCCTCTCCAAAACTAGTGCCACAGCTCTAACACACAGCTTCCCTCTTCATGTCTCGTTGATTGTGTGGTTGTTGCACCTTGTTTGGCTTCTCCTAGTCCAACATGAAGCTAAATTCTGTGTTTCCCCTGCTTTACCTGGCTGTGCCACTCCTTGAGCTGTAGCCTGGCTTTCCTGCCAAAGCCTTCCAGGCAAAGCCACGCAGACAGGGCTGCAGTCGTGCCTGCAGCAGCTGCAATGTTCCTGCCTCTTGGAGGACTCGATAATTTCGTGACTTTTTGCAGATCTGTAGCAGTGCGGGGGGTGTGACCTGGGACAGCTGCAGAGGCCCAGGAGCGGCAGCTCCCCCAGGGAATCTCCCCATGGTGGGACAGACACGGGCGAGACTGCTCTGCCTGAGCTTCCCTCTCGCTTTTCCTTGGCAGGTCCGACCGACCTCAGCATGAAAGGTGGGGCCTCCAGCACGGCCCCCTCCAACAGCACCAGCAGGGGAATGCAGGCTGCCCAGCTCAGCCCCACGGAGATCAGCGCGGTGCGGCAGCTCATCGCCGGCTACCGAGAGTCGGCGGCGTTTCTGCTTCGATCTGCAGACGAACTGGAAAACCTCATTTTACAGCAGAACTGACTCCCCGTGTCTGCATCGCTCCTCTGTCGAGAAGACAATTTATACCTGCTAGGAAGAGGCTCCCAGCGGCGTCCTGCTCAGGACCACCATCGTCCTCCCGTGAAGCGGCGGGTACATGTAGTTTTAGAAGGTGGAATCCAAAAGACCTGTTTTCTTTTACACTCCAAGCACCTGGGACTTCAGGCACAAGGACACGTTTTGGACGCGTACCATCCCCCGTGCGGCCGGCCGACCAGAAGCCAAACCTGCGGCTTGGAAGGATGTGGGACTTTCAAGGGCAGAAGGGAGCCTGGGGAGGTTTGGGGCTGCAGATGTATTTAGAATAACCTTTGTGGACCCAAATGTTAGATTCCCCTCCCCAGATAATTTCCAAGTCTTAGGTGAGCTGAATCACGTATTTATTGAGAAATGGACCCTCCTCTCCCCTTAGTAATTTATTTTTCTGAAAATGGATTCTTTTGAGTTTGTACAGATTGCCAGTTTTTTTGTCTGTCTGATCAGAAGGAATTTATTCCTGTGAAATAACACATTCCATATCACTACACTACTAATTCCCAGGCAGCTCTGCCTGTCTCTCTGGGGAGCCCTTGTCCCGCAGTTTGCCACCCAGCCCGAGACTTCGAGGCTGCTCACCCTCCTGTCAGCGTAGGCGGCAGCGGAACAACGGAGCAAGCAAAGTGTCCCGCTTAGACCTTCCCTCTAAGCGGTTCCGTAGCAGCGGCAGGGTCTAAAGCTCTCGCAGAGACTCGGCAAGCCCAGCAGACTTCCGGCTGGAAGGATGTCTCGCACTCGTTTTAAGTCATTGCAGATAGGAGAAGGAAGGAAGGAGATACCTGAGAAACACTGTCTTGTGGTCACCGTCCGTACTCTACCTCACACTCCATTGTGGGCTTCTTCCAGGCCTGGCCGCGCCGGCCCTGGGGGACGGGGAGTGTCGCAGACGCGTGGATCGCGCCA